AGAAATACTCATTAGATATGTGACTTGAACAAGCACTGATGTCAAGGGTTGTTGGGAAAATTAAATGTGTATATGTAAGCACTTAGAGCAATGCCTAGAACACAGTAAACACTAGAAAAATGTTTGTCATTAAGATGGTATTTAAAACTCTGACACTGAATGCAGTCACCCAGGACTGGCCAAAGGACATTTCAAAACTTAGAAGCCAGGAAAATAAGGAGAAGTCAGAAATATGAGGAGAACCCAGGAAGGAGACTATAAGATTTTAGGAAAACTAAGAGAGTATAGTTTTCTAAAATCAAGTAAACAAAATGCTTCAGAAACTGTGATGATCTGTGTCAAATGAGAGGCCAGGATCTGAAAAGAGACAGTATTGCAGAGAAAGGACAAAGAATGAGGGAGAATGGGCCAGGTCTGCAAGAAACTACAGAAGGGGTGGAAACAGGTGATAAAGTCAGAGATCTGCTTTCAAAGGAGCTGTAGGTTTTAGGAAAATGGGCCAACAGTGATCCGAAAGCATGCATGAGGAACCGGAGAGACCACTTATACCACATCAGGCCTTCTCATTCTTCTCTCCTCAGCCCTCCTCCAGGACCCCACCGAATTCATTTACTCTTCCTGCCCTGCAATGCCTCTTCAGGGAATTCTAGCCAGACAAAACAGCCCCCAAAACCAGCCTGGTCAGGGTAAGAAGTGCCTTAAAAACGTGTATTCTCACTAGGGGAAGCCCAGATTACTAACAAGTGGAGTGGATCCAGACCTGACGTCCACCCTGAAACAGACCTACTCACCTCAGGACTTTCTAAACCAGTGCTTCTTAAATGAGGATGTTTCTGACCCCCTAGAAGACATTAACAATGTCTGGAGACATGCTTGTTTGTCACAACTGGGAAGGGACAACTGGCATCTAGTAGGCAGAGGCCTGGGATGCTGCTGAATACCCTGCAATGCACAGGACAGCTCCCCGCAGCAAGGAATTACCTGATCCCAAATGGTGACAATGCTGAGGCTGAGAAACCCTGCTCTAGGCCAGACAACCTGGACAACAGGAGCTTCGGGTGCTCTTGCAGTTTTTGGTTTCTTTCATTTGGGCAGATGACCCTAGCCTTACCAGCTCTTCCATACCAGTTCTGACAGGATGTAGCTGAGGTGCCAGACCACAGTTATCAGCCTTCCAAATCTACTCAAATAGGGCCAGGGAGAGACTGAGGAAAAACTTCAGGCTAGCTAGACAGTAGATGTGGTCAACAGAAATTGTGTCATATGTTAAATGTTAAAGAGGCAAAATCACCAAAAATGAGAATTAGCACAAAGACTTTTCCTTAAATCAGAAAATGCAACCCTTTTCATTTTGAATAAGAAATACCTTACAATCAAGTTCAAAAGGCAGAATGCTTTTTTAGCTCTGCCCACTGCCAAAATATTCCTTCAGTAGTAAGCTGCTACTTCCATATTCTTGATTGCAAAAGGAAACTAATTAAAGTGAATTTTTTAAAACATCCTGGGAATTCAAAATAATTAATGCGTTACTCTAAAAGTAAGAAATGATGAATCTTGACAGTAAAGGGTCAATGTGTATTAACCTTATCAGTATTTCATTGACAGTAAGTCATGGAGATAGAAGAAATTATCTATTGCTGGCTTTCCCAGAATTCCCTTTTATTTTCTTTCAGGATCATCTCACCAATGAACAGTTTTGTCTTCCTCAAGGCGTTTCCAGAGAAATTTTTTTAAATGACTGCTTTCTACATGGAGGGTATTCTAACTCTGGCATTTCTATTTCCACTTTAAATCTACTCTAGGAAAGTTTAAACCCAGGCATGTGGGGAGAGGATGGTTGTGTCTTAATGAGAAATTAGATCCTCCTATCTAAATGCTCTATCAGCAAGGCTGTCTGGAATCCACTGAGTGTTTTTATCAGAGGAAGTTCTCCAGCAAGATGGTTCATGTACATGTGGTGCGTGTTGTCCCATTTAAGCATGACCCAGGACTCTGAGGAATCAAACAAGTTAGGCCTGGCCAACAACCGTCTCCTATAAGGCTGAGAAAAGTGGTGGCTTTAACAGAGAGAAGGGTCTTCAACCTCCCCTCCTCTGTTTGTGGTGTGAGGATTGACAAAAGCAGTTTCTGAAAGAAAGAGCACTTTGAATATTTCTCTGCAAAACACATCTCCAGCGGACTATGACAACGATAGGGCCATAGTTTCTCAGCGGACTATGACAACGATAGGGCCATGTCTACTGGATGCTCCATGGACCCAGAGAAAAGGCAACACGTATTGGTATTCTAATAATATGAAGCCAGGCTCGGTGGCTCAGCCTGTAATCCCACGCTTTGGGAGGCTGAGGTAAGTGGATTGACTGAGCCCGCGGGTTCGATACCCGCCTGGGCAACTTGGCAAGACCTCATCTCTCTACAATAAATCAAAAAATTAGCCGGGCATGGTAGCGCGAGCCTGTAGTTCTAGCTACTTGGAAGGCTGAGGAGAAGGATCGCTGGAGCCCAGCAGGTCAAGGCTGCGCTGGCCGGGAGCGGCCACTGCACTCCAGTCTGGGCAACAGAGTAAGACTCCAACTCAAAAAAAAAAAAAGGAAAATATGAAAGATTTTTTTAGAACTATAATATAAGAAACACACATATATATGGATACAAACATGCATAAATATGCATGTGTATGTATGTATATACATATGTAGAGAGAGGAGGAGAGATTACTTGACTGAATTGTATGTGATTGAGTGATTATTTATTCAAGAAAAAGAAATTAAAAATATCTCAAAATGCCCATCAGGAAAATGGTCAAGCAAATTATGGCATACTTATTTTTTATTTTATAGAGATGGGATTTCACTCTGCTGCCCAGGCTGGTCTCGAACTCCTGGACTCAAGTGATCATCCTGCTTTGGTCTCCCAAAGTGCTGAAATTACAGGCATGAGCCACCACACCCAGCTGGCATACTTATATAACAGAGAAAAAAAAGGGGAAAAAATTATAAGTATGCCTACTACATGCCAGGTGTTTTCATATTATGTCATTTAATTCTCCCCATCAATTATCCTTTTAGGTAAGAATCATCATCTCCAACTTACAGAAGGCTAAATGAAAAGCCCATAAGAGGTATGGAAGTTGCCTTGGGTCACAGAGCTAGTGAAGAGCAAAGCAGGGATCCACATTCAGGTTTTCTGACGCCCTGCCCAGCGTTTCTGTCACTGTATCCCATACTTCTCCCAAAAATCTATATTTAAGCTAGGTCAGTAAATGGAATTGTAACTATAAAATAATGTCCAATGAAAAGCAAATCATAGTATAGATGTATTGACTTTAATTATGTGAAATTTTATATGTATTTACTAAAAGTGGATGACAAGCAGAATGAGATTGACCAAAAAAAGGAATTAAAATCATCAGAATTTGTTCTTCCTATTAAGTTGTCTAAGTATATTTAAAAAAAAAAAATCACCAAAATTTTTTCCTCAGTGTATACCTGTGCTAATTAAGGTTAAGAAGAGGTAACAAAAATAAAACACCCTGTTTAAGGCTGAATAGGGCTGGGCCAGGTTAAAATAAGAGAAATACCCCATCCTTCCTAAAATCCCCAGCTCCTTCAGAGCCAAAGTGACTAGCAGAGGGATAGAATATATCAAGAGATGGAATTTCTGAAGCTAAAAAGCTCTGAGAGCAAGTTTGGATCTGTAGAAAACTCTTTTTCTTAAAAACAGCACTTATGCTAAATAATATCCTTTGAATTCGTCCTTCAACCAAAATAATTTAAACCTGGGAGTACCGCCTTTGCAGTGACTTTGCCTAAAGAGTATCTATCACCCTCAGTCAAATTGAATTATTTTATAATCTCCCCTCTTTTTCCTCCCCTCAGATTTGGGGGCTACACTGCTTCTTAATAGGGTAACAGAACCCAAGCACAGGTCTCCCTGGGGCCTTCTAACATGCTGCTGTAACTTGCAGAAATAACCCAGGAGTGAGCCCTGAGTGTAGGCTCTATTCTGCAAAGAGTAACTAGAAATTCACAGCAATAACTGCACTTTCTAAGACACAGTGAGAAATAGCTCACTAGGTTTGCACAATCCTCCTGTGCTCAAATTCATGAGCTGAGAATTGGGCAAGATGCCATTTTTATTTTGCCCTTTGGTACTTTTGTTTTTATAATAGGCAGTAACTAATGTCTTCTAATTTAGCAGAAGGATGAAATGTTGACAAAGGTTTTCTGAGATTGTTTTTCAAAAGAAAATGGCTCATGAATACAATTCATACTGCTATCAGTTTCCTTATCAAATGCATTTCTTACTGACAAAAAAAAAAAACAAAAAAAACACCTGGAAATAAAGGTTCCCCAAATGGTTTCCCTTAAAACCCCTGTTGTGTTTTAAAGTTTCATAAAAAGAACTTCCCTAGGTTCTCTTTTGTTTGAAAACTCTCACCTATTTCTTCTTTTTTTAATTCCTATATTGACTACTACTAATCAAGTATCCTAGTTCAAGAATCTAGGAAAATGCTTGAAATGACTACATTAGGATTAGCCAATAATACTATCAAATTTGAGAGTAGCAATTTGACAACCATAAGGTATTCAAATCCTCCTAATAACTACACAGAAAAAGTCAGTTAGCTAAAATGGCTGATCTCATGACTGGCTTCCAGCTGTAGTCCCAAAGGTTTAATAATAAGGACATCTACTGAGATTTTTTTAAATATGCCAATCATTCTATTAAAAAGTTTGTGTGTGTTATCTCATTTAATCCTCATAACAATTCTAACATGTAATTATGAGTGTTATCATTTTATCCCCATTTTACAGATGAAGAAACTAGGGCACAGAGAAGTTGAGTAACTTGCCCAAGATCTTTCACCTAGTAAAGTCAGGAGCTAGCACTAAATCCCAGACAGTCTGGCTCCATGCCATCACTGGTACTGTCTACTGTGGCCAGTCAGTGGGCTCCTACAACTCTAAGGCAGTTGCATTGCAACACAAATTCAGACTCACATCTCTCATCATTTTCACAGCTTCCCTGGTCCTCCCGAGTCTTCTGGCACACATTGCTAGTCTTCTTTTGATGTAGACCAAGACATTGGTGTCTCGTCCTGAAGAGGGAGAGATAAAACATCAAATTTTTTTTTTAAAAAGTGCTTTCAGTTGAACAGCGAGAAAAAATACAGAAGCCCATTTGCCCTGCCCTTAAAGGAAAAGCTCTGAGGCAGCTCCTTTGGCTTTTCCTTAGTGCCAGGAGCACCAACAACTCTGTGAATAGTAGAACAAATAAAGTAAAGTAAAGGCACTTAGACTTCCAAAGGTCAAATCATGCAGTGGATTACCTAATCTATGCTTTTGAGTTAGGATGCTAAATATTTGATAATAAGTAAAATCATCTTCCACGAAGTGCTGGGAAAAAGAACATATGCACACTGCATTCAGTTTACCAGCACAAATTCCACATTCTTGAAGTGTGCATGCTTTTGGTAAAGATGTAAAGAGGTGAATCTCAGGTTGCAACCTGATGAACTATTTTTTTTCATTCTTGACGTTAAGTCTGGAGAAGTCTCATCTTGAACTTCTGCTTTATATTATTCTTTCCCTAACACTAGTGACATCATAATCATCTCCAGGTCCCCAAAGCAGTTGATTTTAGATGGCAATATAACACATTCCAGATATGACAATAGAGGACGCAACAAAATGAAAAACTACCCTAGTGTTAGAGAAAAAATTGACAAGCTAAATAGTTATAACAATAGTCCCTAAAACGATTCTTAAAAAGTACATTAACAACTTATCTTAATCTTTTATTTAATTATATGTCTTTTTGGATATGTTTCCAAACCAGTGAAAACATGCATGTGCTTAATCCTCAATAAAATTACCATGTTTGAGAAAAATATGACACACCTGTTATAGATTAAGTACATGTATAATACGCAGCTATTAAAAGATGTTAAGACCAAAGTCCTAACATTTCAAGTTTCAAACAATGAGAACAAGATGTGTGCTGAAAATCTGCCAAGTACCTACAAATTATTTTAAAGATTTGATTATATTTTTTGGATAGATTTAGGCAGCAGGTTGAAAGTATTTAATTTAGAGAAGAAAAGAGAGAAAATTTCTTACGTTGTATTATAAGTTTTATAATTGTATAATTAATTTCCATTTAGTTCAAATATAGACATTTACTCCATGTCTTCAAGATACATTGCTTTATACTTTTTTATAAATAAGTAAGATACAGATGGTGATTACAGATTTCATTAACATATACACGCACCACAGAATAAAAATTAAAACCTGTGTATTGATAGGTTGTGTAGACATACTCATGTATATGCAGGCTATAAAGCAAAGATCTTGCTGACAACTTAAACATGGGAACTAAGGCAGTTAGTTTCTATACCAAATACAAGTTTAACATTAAAATTTAATTTTATAATCTCAAATATGAAGGAAATATGCTCCTACTTTCCAAGATGCAGGAGGGAGGAATGAGGTGAGAGATTCCACCTTGAGGAAACAATCGGAATTTTGGTTGGATCATGCAAACACTCTCCTCCCACAAGGATTGCTAAATTTCTGCTTAAACAACCAACAACGTGATGAGTCAAGGGACTCGGGGAATTGCAAAATGATTTTGTTGTCTTGTTTCTATACCGTTCCCACCAAATGTCATGGATTCTCAGCTTAGTGTACTGAAGTAAAGACCTCAGATTTTAAAGCATTATTTTACATATCAGAAGACCTTATTTTTAATATAAAAAGATAAGTAATTAGGACCTTATGGCTTTTTCTCTCTAGAAGCCAATACCAATGTTTCTTACATAAGAGCTAAATGCTGATAAGGCATCAATAACTGTTATATTCTTAATTGTCCTATTTCAACTCATGTTGTAGAAGACCTATGAGATAAAACCTTTGATAACACTATCACTAATTTTAAGTCCTGTTTCCCAAATGAGACTTAAAGTTATGGGACAGAGAAGCAACTAATGAAAAGAAATATGTAAGAATTCTGGGGAGAAAAAAGGTTACCATCAAAGGCGCCTGCCATTTATTTCTGGGTTTGGGAATCTATGGACAGGAAAGAGATTTGAACATGGATAGTAGCGAAGCTATAAGTTAATTATGTACTAACTGCTATTACAGAAAAGAAAAAGCCAATAAAAACCAAAACATGTGAAAGCCCTTATTTGTTCTCATCTAGGAAAATCATATTTTGAACTGGACTAAAAATTTGCTCTGATTAATGATTTCACAAATCTGATCCCCCAATGCATCAACCTGGAGAAACCTTACTATGTTGGGCTTCATACTGGGATCCATGATGTTGTAGCTGCTGAGAACGCCGGTAACAGCCATCTCCAGCCTTCAGAGCCTGTTTAAATAGTTTTTCTGCTTCAGCAATGGTTGTTGCTTCCTCTTCGGCCAAGAGAATATAAGCAGTTGCACACCTGTTCATTCAGATAATAGCTATCATCAATTACAAATCCAAGGACAAGGTAATAGGCTGCAGGAGTTCATGCAGAAGGGCAAGGAGTTAAGCCAAAACATGCAGAGTGGCCAACTGGTTCATGCACCCCTGTGTGTAGTTGTTGACACAAAATAATGGTACAAAAGAAACATTGGTATTTTAGTTTGAGAGGTAGGATGTGTAGTGTTAGGAGCATGGGACTTACATATGGACTCCACCCTTTATTAGTGTGTCACTTTGGGCAAGTTATTACTCTGCCTCCCTGATGGAGAACAATGTGGAATCTTTGCTCACAGTGTTGTTGTGAAGGGTAAGTAAGGTGATGCATGAAGTGCTCAGTACAGTAGCCAGCATGTGGTTAAATGCTCAATAATGCCAGCTAATGATGGTGATGATAATAGATGTTATTCAATATCTCCTTCGAACATTCAAAGTTAATGGTACTATAGATAAAAGTTTATTTCTGTTTACTAAACACAGATTCTCTTCAGTCTAAGGATTTCTTCAGAGTGAGACATTCATTAAATCAAGTAAATCATTGAAAAAGACCAGTGCTTCAACATCTCATTACAATTAGCACTGATTTTCTGCTTTGGAGAACACTAGAAGAATCTGCAGATAGTGTTATTTCTGAAGAGCTCAGGATCTGACAGCCACAGTAGTTAACAAGAGTTAAATCTCATGCCTTTAACAACAATAGCTACCATTTGTTGCTCAGTATATATTAAGCACTGTACCAGGCACTTAACATATATCATCTCACATAATCCTTTCAACAACTCTCTAAGGGAGGAAGCCAGAAAGGTTAAGCAGTTAACTAATGAAAAGGGGAGCGCTTGCAAATTTAAACCTTCCAGATCACATGAGGAACAACCCACTGCCAAGGAGAGGGAAGGTAAAAGGGAAGAGGTGAGGCCAGAACAGACAACGTAGGTCCTGCACCCAATCCTTTTCTTTCCTTCCTCACTGCCTCTTTTGTGTCCATTTCCCTACTTATTTCCATCAGACCATGAGAGATAGAATAATCAGAAAGTAAAACCAAATGTTACTTTTACTGTTCATAAACTGCAATAGCCAGCGAGAAAAAGGAGGCTGAACTTCATAGCTAATGTGAAGTTTGGGGTTACTGGTCAATCTTAGCCTTGAGGAAGGGTTTTTTAGTTTGTCAGCCAATCCCTCTAATTTCAGGCAGGAACCATCAATGGGGCTTTAAGCTGAATGTGTTGAAGTAGGGAGAAACAAAAGCTGGAAAACCAATTACTACAGAGGGCAGCATATATGACTTGGAAAGAACAATAATGATGCTGAAACTGTCCAAGTGATTCACTGGAGAAAATAACTGGGATAGGCATCAGAAGAAATACTTAAGGCTTCAGATGCCTACATATAAATATGAGTCAAGGGCAATGAAGTGAAAAATGGAGATTATAACACTGAGTGCTAGATACAGCATTAAAGGAATTAGCCATAAGACTGTAGCTGGTGGGCTGGGAACTCAAGAATGGTAGGGGCTAGCTTGCTTATTTCACTTATGTATAATTCAAATAGTATTCTTAGGAGGAGAGGCAGAGTAGCACTACTGGCCAAGAAACATACATCTATATGGAAACTCATGAGTCTGGGGTAGAAACATGCTAAGAGTTTGTGAGTGAAGGAAAAAGGAGAGAGCAATAGAAGTGCTAATGGTTGGGGAGTACAGAACAGACTGCTCAGCTCGATGGAAGATATAGATGATGCATCCTTGTCACAACACAATACACACACAGAAGCAAGAAAGTGTGGTGATGGGAGTGTCAACCATCCAGATATCCGCTAGAAGTCTCATTTGGTTAGAAGTAGGGCACCCGACAGGTTCTTGACTTACTTTGGTAACAATTTTATCTCCCAGATGGCAGAGGAAGCAATTAGGGGAACTTCAACTCTGGACCTAATTCTGACCAAGAAGAAAAAAATAGTTGGTGAAATGAAAATTGATAGGAACATTCAGAGAGAGTTACTATGTCATTTCAGAGGTCAGGGCAATCAAAGAGGGGAAGGCAGAATTCAAAAATTCAAAGAAAAGAGACATGATTCAATGGCATGAGACTCAGAAGGAAAAACGGTATAAGAGGGTCGAGCAGCTTCCAAATGCCCAACTGTAACTGCAATCACAAATGATCCTCTCAGGAAGAAAGGGGGCAGCACTTAAGTAACCAGTATGGCTTCACAGAGATTCCTTCCAGGTCAGATTTTTAGAGGACATGTAAAAAAAGATGGAAAGAGGGAATGTAATGAAAGACTGTAAGAGAGTGGAATGAACTTAGAAGAATAATGTTAGGAGAGCTAAAACTCCAAATTAGCTGAAGCTCACACATAAAATATAAAGACAAAACAAAAGAAAATACTAAAGACAACCATTTATTCCTTGTTCTCAAATCATGTTTCCAGCCCTATGACCACCCCCATTTCTCCAAAACCACCACAAAAGCAAACGAGCAAAAAAAGACAAACATCATCAAAACAAGGAAGGCTTATTGTTAACAGCAGTCGATAATAAAGAGAAAGCAAAACTCTCTCCCTCCTATTTTGTTCCTGGATTCTCTATCAAGGAGAATGACTGTCAGACTGAAAGAGGGAGAAGAAATTAAACTCTAAAATGGGTAAAAAAAGATGTAAGATAGTAAATAACTGATCCATTCTAAATGAATGACTGTACTGGGATGGGCAAATCCCAGGAAGCCAACAGACCTTGTAGGCAGGCCACGGAATTACTTTCTGTGGATAGTTGAGGAATCACAAAGAATGCAGAGGTGCTAGAAGATGAGATGGCAAATGTAGTCCATATTTTCAAAAAGGGGAAGAAGGCAGACTTCCCAAACCACAGAACAGTGATTTTGAAAGATGCTCTAATGGATTAGTAAAGGGATGGTCTCCAAGCACTTTAAAAAGAAAGTAGCGACAACTAGAAGCCAGCTCAAGTTTAAGTTTACTAAGAATAAACACATCCAATTGTGCTAGCTTAATTTAATAGATTTGCTACAAATTTAAGAGCCATAGCTACAATCAGATTAAGATCAAAATGGAGAACTATGGGCTGAATCACAGTGTCACTGGGTGGCTTAGTAATTGGCTGAACAATACAAAGCATGCTAACTCATGAAGACATGAACTAGTTTCTATATGTCATGTCACAGGGTTCTATACCTGGCCCTCATATTTTTCTCAGAAATATGGATGACACACAGAAGGCAGGTATATCAAATTTGTAGATGATCAGAAACTTAAAAATAAATACGCTGCATGACAGAATCAGAAACCATGTAGACCAACTGGTTATAATGGCAGGATTTCCAACTTTCAAGAGAATCTTTTTTCTAAGACATCTGAAGAAGATTCTGTAACCTTCTTCAGAAAAACCATAAAACAGTTCAACAATGGCCACTTGACAAGGATAGCATTGAGGTGATTCAAGCCCCACATGGGTGGTTGAGCTAAATGACCTTTAAGGTCTCTGCCAACCCTGAGTTTTTATGAGAATCTTTCTCATTTTCTGAGATCTCCAGAAGAGATTTCCCAGCCTTCCTTGGTAACCCATACAATGTTTAAAAACATTCAAGACAGCATTTCCTCTTATCTTTGTCTTGATTTTAAAATGTGTTTTTAAGCGTTTTGTTGCTTTTTTTTTTCCACTTTGTGTCTTTTTTATGTTTCCCTCACTAGTAGAAGTTCTTCTAGAAAATGTTACAGTACAGTTGAGCATTCTACATCTGGAAAAATTTCCCTGTCAAATGTTTTAGATATGTAAAGAATTATATTTATTTTATATCCTCACAATATCCTAAGGATAGCCCTTGAAGGATTTAATTTAGGGTCATAGCAAAGCCACTGAATTGCTCTCTAAAATGACTAAAACCACCTCCACATGGCTGTCTTTCATTTAAAAAAAAATTTTTTTTATAAAGTAATAACCCTTCAAATAATCCTCCAGTTCAAATGCATAATTTAAGATAAGGATCCCATCAATGGCAACAGAATATATTCAGCAAAGGATAAGATTTCCTTTTTAACAGCAAGATTTCCCCCACTTACTCATTTATCTCCAAGGCTTCATGAGCTGCAGAAATCCTAGCTTGGGGGTTTCTCTCTCTCCAGGCTTTCTGCATTACTATTTAAGAAAAAGGGAAAAAAGAATGTCAATCTACACATATAATTAGGAAGACTCAATACAAGACAACAGCTAAATTAGTAGCTTTCAGCTTAAATTACAAGAAAATACTCCATTACTAACAGGGCCAGCCTAAATCTCCAAGGTCACACAAATACATTTCCGTTTATTCCATTGCTCTTCATTTGCTGATAGCAAACTTTTTTTTTGTACTCACAAAACAACAGACTAAGGAAATCAAAAAAAGGCACTCCAACAGAGGTTTTATATTTCTTTTCCACATTATATCATTTGTTGTTAGATAGCATATATTATTTTATACATTTTGAGATGAAATTTATACTAATCTATTCATTCTATTTAGAGACAACATAAATTCTATTGGTCATTTCCCCAAATTCTTGCTACAGGCACTGGACATTTGAACATTTTGAAACCATTTAAAGAATTAAGAGTTGGTCTGCTGGGTCGAATGGTAAATCTATTTTTAGTTCAGCCAAAGGAGCACAAATATCACTCTACCTAAAAGGCACCTGCGCTTGTATGTTTACACAGCACTATACACAATAGCAAAACCATGGAACCAACTTAGGTGCCCATCAACAGTGGACTGGATAAACAAAATGTGGTACATATATGCCATGAAATTCTATACAAGTCATTAAAAAAAAAAAAGAACGAAATCGTGTCCCTTGCAGAACATGAATGAATCTGGAGACCATCATTCTAAACAAATCATCACAGAAACAGGAAACTGAATACCACATGTTCTCTCCTTTAAGTGGGAGCTAAACACTGAAGACACATGGTCATAAGCATGGGAATGACAGACAGTGGAGACTCCTAAAGGGGGCAGGGAGAGAGTGGGGTAAAAGTTGAAAAATCACCCATTGGGTGGCAGGTTCAGGAGGAACCTAAACCTCACCATCATACAATATACTTATGTGACAAACCTGCCATGTACCCCTCAAAGCTAAAACAAAATAATTTCTTAAAAAAGAATTATGAATTGAGTCAGGAAAAAGTGCTTTAGGTTCTAGCTTTACATGTGTGCTTATACCATAGATTTGCCCACAAACTCAGTTTTCATATATCAGAGCAGTCTGAAAATATTGTGGGAAGTTCAATGCTTGGGAATATTTATTGCACTATGATGTTCTAACACAGCAAAGAGTCCCTTTAAAAAACAGTAACACTCTCTTTACTTAATTTTTAAAATAAATTTATATCTTATAAGTCAGTTTCTTTTTTTTTTTTTTGAGTTGGAGTCTCACTCTGTCGCCCAGACTGGAGTGCAGTGGCCGCTCCCGGCCACTGCAGCCTCGACCTGCTGGGCTCCAGCAATCCTTCCGCCTCAGCCTTCCACATAGCTAGAA